ATGACCAAGGTACATAAGTTTAGTACCTATGATTTCTTGTATTTTATTGTGTTAGATCTTATATCTAAGTTTTTGATCCACTTTGAGTTAATTATTGTGCATGGTAACAAACCCTAGTTTAGTTTCATTCTTTTGCACATAGCTTTTCAATTTTCCCAGCGCCATTTATTGAAGAGCCTTTCCTTTCTCCATTGTGTGTTTGTGGTTCCTTCATGAAAAATTATTTGCCCATATAGATGTGGGTTTATTCCTGGGCTCTCAGTTCTGATCCACTGGTCTGTTTTTCTGTCACTGCCATGCTCTTTTGATTATCATAGCTCTGTAAGTATAATTTGAAGTCCGATAGTGCGATACCTCTGGCTTTGTTCTTTTTTCTTAGAATTGCTTTGGCTATTTCAGATCTTTTGAGGTTCCATACAAATATGATGACTTTTTGTTCTATTCTTAAAAAAAAATGACATTGAGTCTTTGATGAAGACTGCATTAAATCTATATATTGCTATGAGTAATATAGCAATTTTCTATGTTGATTCTTCCAATTTATGAATACAACGCACTCTGGCAGAAGTACAGCGTGCTTGAGTGTGGTTGGTAGGGTAATAACATTGGTGTAATAGTTTATAGTTTTAATTTGAACATTTCACATAATATGTCTCATGATGTGCTTGAGTATGATATTGCTGTTATAGAGTTACATGCTTATGACCTTGTAATAAAAGATTTTGTAATTAAAAAGGGTGTTATTTGTGCCAAACCCTGTATCTCTCCATTTCACTGTGTCTTTTTCAATCTCTTTCAATAATACTTTGTAGTTTTCATTATAAGGTTCTTCACATCCTTTGTTAAGTTTATTCTTTGGTATTTTAATCTTTGGGTTGAAATAGCAAAAGGAATTATTATTTTCATTTATTTTCCTGAAGCTTTATTTTTAGTATATAGGAAAGCAGTGAATTTTGTACATTGATTTTGTATCCTGCAACTTTACTGTATTTGTTTATTGTTTCTAACAGTTTTTTGGTGAGGTCTTTAGGATTTTCTATGTACTGAATTGTGTCATCTGCGAAAAGTAACTTTTAAATTTTCTGGTGAAACAGCAAATCACCCAGGTGACTCAGCCCCACCTAAATCCAAGATTTGGTGCCCTGTGACTTGTGGCTTTTTCCAAAACTAAAATTGAAAGGGAAGCAATTTCAGACCATTGATTATATTCAGGAAAATATGACAAGGCCCCTGGTGGCAGTGCCACTGGTTGGGAGAACTGTGTGAGGTCCAAGGTGCCTACTTTGAAGGGGACTGAGGTGTCATTGTCCTATGCATGTTTCTTAGATCTTGTATCTTCTTCAATAAATGTCTCTATTTTTCATATTTACATGGCTGAATACCTTCTGGAAGCCCTCGTATATACACACACATGTATATATGCATACTGTACACAATATATATGATATATAGGCACACATATATTGTATGTGTATGTATATTTAAACTCTTTGGTCAAACAATACCTTACATGGAAACTGTAGTCAGTGACCCCTACCCCAGGCAGTTCTGTAAACACAGCAGTTGAAACCAACCTGGCTAGATGTTGTTTAATATCCTTTCCAATGTCATGTTATTTTAACCATTTTGATGAAAACCTTTCTGACTTAGAAGGTTTTTTAAATGTGTTCAAATCTATTTTTTCACAAGACCCAAGGCCATCATTGTGAACATGAGATACTGTCATAAACCATAAAAGAATGCAGTGTTTTTGCTTCCTCCCTTGAGCCCGGGATGTCAACTCTAACTACTGCTGTCAGTATTCCGGACTCATGTACTGTCCAGCCTGACTCCAATATGCTGTTTTTGTGGACTCACAAGCTAAAGAAAAATTGTTGAGAGTTAGGGAAAAAAGAGATGAAAGTAGAGTCATGAAAAGTGCCTGCACTTACAAGAAAACCAATATCTTCATGCCACTGTTATGTATTTACCATGTGACCTTGAGCAAATCACTTGCCACCTTAGCCTCTGCCTTTTGTAGTATATGGATTAGATCACCTGTGCCTGTCACAGTGCCTGACATGTTGTGGCTCCTCAAAGAATGTTACTGAATCGAATTTCAGATCCTCCTAGTTCTATGAGTCAGTGATTTTATATGCCAAAATGTTTACTTTAGTTACTATGATTGTAACATGTCTAAAAGTAATCATATAGTTTGCTAAATTCCTAATCTAGATGTCAGTTGATAAGGAAAATAGGTAATGAACACATACAACATGCAAAGTACTTAAAATATGCTATCTTATTGTAACTCAAACCTGTATGAGACTTATGGTATTATTCATATCACAAGATAAGTAGAGTGAGGTTTAGAAACCTGATCTGACTTTCTCAAGGTCCAAGGTCTTAAGGGAGTAGAAATAGATAGCTTTCTTTAAATTGTAGAAAGTCTGTAGAAATAAAATAAATAATATATGTAAAAGAAATTTCAAATTTAAAAATAAAATACAAGCAAAGGGTAACATTATCATCATTATTCTTATTATACTTGTGCATATAAATTTTAAGAAAGGAAATATTCTTGAGTAATGGGCTGAGGGTTTCCACTAAGAAATAAAAGGCAAAGGACTCTCTGGCATCTGTTGGGGTTTCTCAAACTTCTTTTTTTTTAATCTAGAGAAGCTGAGAGACCCTTACGGGCCACCTCAGAGTTTATGAAAGACCATGCACAAATGTGCAATGCATGCCTGAAGCACAGTTGTTCCGATCACACACATTTAATATAGGAAACACCCCAGCAATAAGAAGAGAATAACAAATCATGCTCCATCCTCTGCCATCAGCCTCTTATAGATATTGTGGCACTGTGCTGAAATAATCAATTAATCAAGTTCGCTGGACTGAGTTCACTTGAAATTTGCAATAAAATTACCTATGGCAAAATTTATTCTTCTTTTATTCTTCTTTTAAAAATTGTTGTTCAAGTACAGTTGTCTCCATTTCCCCTCCACCACCACACACCCTGTGTAAAAGTACTCCACATTACAATTACTTTTTTGTGCAACCTGAGAGATCCCCATAACATTTGTATCTTGGGGAGCAGGAGCTTGACTAAAAATCTTTCCTCCATCAGTTGGCCTGGGCTCTGTAGGAAAATCAGTACACTTCCCTACTAGTGACCTGTGTGGTATGTCAGGGCTCCAGACAGTTTTTACTAAGTCGTTTTTAAAGTCGTATCGCAAACTTTCGTTAGACCTGCAGTATCTGATATGGTCCATGAGCTCTAAAATGTAGCTAATCCATATTAAAACGTACTCTTAAGTATAAATTGCACACCAGACCTCAAAGACCAAGTCAGAAAAAAGAGTATGTCTTTGTAATGTTTAATAGGACAAAAGCCCCCTTTTCAGGCCCTCTTTGGGAGAAACAAGTTGCAGCCTAACTAAAACATCCTGCTCTACAACCCATTACCCTATAAAAGCCCAAAGCCCTAACCACCCAGGGCTGGTGCATTTCTCCACACCCAGCTTTTTCTTCCCCTGGGAAGGTAAAATAAAAATTGCACTCTTGGCAGTTTCTTCTCTTTTTGAATTCTTTCACAGCCCACATCCCTGGCCACCTGAACAAATATTGATTATGTGTTGTAATAGTAATATCTTGGACATATTGTGTTTTAAAAAAACACATCATTAAAATTAATTTCATGCATTCCTTTTTAATTTTTCATGTGGCTACTAGAAAATTTTAAACTGCATATGTGGTTCCCATTATCTTCCTATTAGACAGAGCTGCTCTAGAATAATGGCTATCTACTTGGCTTATTTCTGCTTATTACTTTTCAGGGACAAATATTTACTTCTCTTTATAAGAACAAAAGCCCAAAGTCAAACAAAACAAAACATTACTTGTACTTTCCTGGTGTATACAAAACAGCTTTGCAATGGAAGAAGGAACCAATAGGATGTTTGGTTCTGAAAATTGAAACCCTGCATGTGATATTCAGAACCATAAAGAGTATTTATTCATCTGAACTTGCATACAGTTTGACCTTCTTCTTAATTGTGTTCATTCTGCTATTTAAATGTATCCAAACTAAAAGGAAAAAAATTATTTGACATAACTGGCATTGTCCCATAGAAAACTCTCTTTTAAATTGGCTTTTACTTCAAGATTGTGAAATCAGTTCTATTTTACTTTATAAAATAAGAAAAAGCCTTGTTAGTATAGAATGATTAATCCTGAAATGATCTGGTGTCAAACCAGTCTTTTTTATATTTATGAGATGGAGACCTAGGCAAAGTAAGCAACTGGCTCAACATTCTCCATTAATAAATGATAAGGGCATAGTCTGAGTTCAGTTCTGTCATGTGATTCAAATTTTTCCTATTCACATGGCAAACTTAAAACTATTTCCAAGTCATTCTTTTTTGTACCATAGAAACATAAGCTTCAATTGTTTGAAGAACATCAAACAGTTGAAAACAAACCACTAGTTAAGTCCCTCTTACAAAATTTATGCCCAAAAAGGTCTCCTTACTGTAGACTATATGGATACAACATAAAATACAAATTTTCACACAATTAGGTATAGACTTGGAAGTAACCAGTATAGCACTCTTTCCTGCTGATTCATAGCCTACAATTCTAATGGGAACAGTGCAAATACGGTAGGTCTGTTTTGCTTGCCTTTTAAAATTTAAATGCAGCTTTCTCCCCAAACTGCTGAGATTGTCAAGGCGTATGACAATTTGTCTGCTCAACAGTCAAATGAATTTAAAACTTTTGCACTCATAAAAGAATGCATTGTTTCAGCTTCTAAATCATTTGAGTGGATTTGGGTTGCTTTAATTATTTACTATTTAATGTCATTGATAAGTAAATTAATAAAGTCCCTATATCTAGATATCTTAAAATTTACAAGTTATTTATTTCTTTTTCTGGTAGCATATTTCTGTTTTCTTCTGAATAAATCCACCATTGATATACTGTATTTGGAACTATTTTAAGAATAAAGAAAATACATACTTACCTGGCAGGGGAGATACAATGATCACACAGGTGATTTTCCCAGGGCAAGGCTTATCCATTGCACTCCAGATGTGCTGAGCCCTGTCATTTCCCCCAGTGTGGGAAACTTGACTGCATAATTTGAGGTAGTGGGGGACTGTGTTTACGATCTCCCCTGGTTCTGAGTTCTAATGTCAGGCCTATGAAACTTCCCAGGAACAGTGTTGTGGGGACTTTCACTACTCTGGAGATGTGCTGCCTCAGGAGTTCTTTCTTCTTTTTCTTTCCTTCTCCCACCCAGTTTTTTTCTTTCCAACTGTATCCTGGTACCACTATTTCCAGCCCCCAGCACCCCGCAACTAGCCATCATTTGTTCTCCACTTATGAGTCTTACAAAGCTGAACACCAAAAACGTGGGTGGACGGTCTCTCCAAAGGGGACACACACATAACCACTAAAGCTGTGAAAAGATGCTCAATGCCACTAACTAAAATAAAAACAACAATGAGTGGCTATCATAAAAAAATTAAGAAAATACAAATAATAATATGGAATCCAAGTATGTAGCATCTAATTATAAAAATGTTAATATTTAGCCATATTTCCCTCACATTAAAATATATTATGGTAAAATATACATACATAAAATTTGCCATTGTAACTGCTTTTAAGTGTACAATTCAGTGGCATTCATTACATTTACAATGTAACTAATGTGCAACCATCATTACACTACATTTCTAGAACTTTTATCATACCAAACAGACACTCTATACTCACTAAGTAATATAACTCTCCATTTTCCATCTCTAAGCCCCTGACATCCTCTAATCTACTTATTGTTTCTATGACCTATTATAGATACTTCATAGAAGGGGAAACTCCACACCATATTTGCCTTTTTATGTCTGGCTACTTTCACTTAGATTAATGCCTTCAAGTTTCAACCATATGGTCACATGTAACAGAATTTAATTCCTTTTTATGACTAATATTCTACTCTATGTACATACTACATTTTGTTTATCCAGTCATTTGTTAATGAACCCTTGAGTTATTTCTGCCTTTTGGCTACTGTGAATAATGCTGCAATGAACTTGGTCACACACATATCTGAGTCCCTGTTTTCAGTTACAGGTAGCATGTCTGGGTTGCATGATAATTCTTTTTAATCTATCTTTTATTGTTGTTAAAGTACATTTGTCTCCATTTTCCCACCACCACTTTCCCCCAATAATTCTGTGTTTAGCTTTTTGAAAAACCACTAACCTGTTTTTCTATGACAGCCATTCTATTATACATTCCCACCAACAATGTACAAAGGTTCTAATTTCTCTATATCCTTGCCAATTTTAATTACAGTCATTCTAGTAGGGATGAAGAGGTTATGATTTGTATTTCCCTAATAACTATGATATTGAGCATCTTTTCATGTGCTCATTATCCATGTGTATCTTCTTTGGAGAAACGCGTATTCAACTACTTTGTTCATTTTTAAAAATTGGATTGTTAGACTTGTTGTTGTTGAGTTGTAGGAGTTTGCCTCAGATTTTTTAAGAAATAAAACATTACCTCTTGGCTGCTGTGACTGAGTGGATTGGATGCCAGCCTGCTAACTGAAAGATTGCTGGTTTGATTCCCAGTCAGGGCACATGTCTAGGTTGCCAGCCAGGTCCCCACTTGGGGCCATTGGGGAGGCAACCACACACTGTTTCTCTCCCTCTCTTTCTCTTTCTCTTCTCCTCTCTCTAAAAATAAATCAATAAATAAAATCTTTTTTTAGTTACTAAAAAAAGAAATAAAACATTACAATTGAGTTTAAATTCCCTTTATATTTACAACTAATCCTAATATCTCACTCCCTAAATTCATCCAGATGTGACCACTATTTTTTTTAAGATTTTATGTATTTATTTATTCCTTCTTGCAGGTAGGGAGGTCCACATGACATATTTCTTTTAAAAAAAATTTATCTTTAGAGGGGAAGGGAAGGAGAGAAGAAGAGAAATATCAATGTATGGTTGCCTCTTGTGCATCCCCTGCTGGGAACTGGCCTGCAACCCAGGCATGTGCCTTGACTGGGAATCGAACCATGATCCTTTGGTTCACAAGCCCACACTCAATCCACTGAGCTACAACAGCCGGGGCAACGTGACATATTTCTGATCAATGAAATATAAGTGGAAGTTGCTAGACATGACTCAACAAGGAAGTTATTTAAAAAGAGGCAGACTTTATTGGCACCAATTTTTTTGGCCTTTCATTCTTTCCTTTCTTCATGCTTGCAATGCTTTTATTATGCTGAACACCGAGTATCTATCCTTTGTTATGAAGATGATAAAAGTCATATGCTGAGAATGGCAGAGTGGAAAGCTCAAGGAAACTTAGGTTCCTGGTAGCATTATGTAGTCTCTGTACCAGTCTCAACTTCCTCCAGGGTTCATTTTACATGAGAGAAGTAAAATATTTTGTCTTTTAAATTACTCCACTGTTAATGATTCCTGTCATGAGCACCTAAACACAATCATTAACTGATACAATAAAGTCTTATTTAGTGATTTGTGATTATTAATTTTATGTGTCAACTTGACTGGGCTAAGGGATGCCCAGATAGCTGGTCAAACATTATTTCTGGGTCTGTCTGCAAAGGGCATCTCTGGAAGAGATTAGCATTTCTTTCATTCTTCGTTTGTTTGTTTCTTTCTTTCTTGGCTGCTATCATATTTTTATTTTTAAAATATATTTTATTGATTATGCTATTATCAATAGCATATCCCATTTACTGTCCTATAGTTGTCCTATTTGTTCTCTCCTTTTTTTCCTTCCTTCCTGCACCCCACTCCTGCCAGCATTCCCCCCACATTAGTTCATGCCCAAGAGTCGTACATATAAGATCTTTGGCTTCTCCATTTCCCATAGTATTTTAACCTCCCCCTGTAATTTTCTACCTACCATTTATGCTTCTTATTCCCTGTAACTTTTCCCCCATTCTCTCCCTACCCCTTCCCTGCTGATAACCCTCCATATGATCTCCATTTCTGTGATTCTGTTCCTGTTCTAGTTGTTTGCTTAGGGGTTTTTTTGGTTCATTTACTGATGGTTGTGAGTTTGTTGTAATTTCACTGTTCATATTTTTTATGATCTTCTTTTTCTTAGATAAATCCCTTTAACAGTTCATATAATGAGGGCTTGGTGATGCTGAACTCCTTGAACTTGACCTTATCTGGGAAGCACTTTATCTGCCCTCCTCCATTCTAAATAAGAGCTTTGCTGGATAGAGTAATCTTGGATGTAGGCCCTTGTCTTCCATGACTTTGAATACTTCTCTGCTGCCGCTTCTTGCCTGCAAGGTTTCTTTTGAGAAATCAGCTGATAGTTTTATGAGAATTCCTTTGTAGGTAACTGTCTCCTTTATTCTTGCTGCTTTTAAGATTTTCTCCATATCTTTCATCTTGGGTAATGTAATTATGATGTGTGCCTTATTGTGTTCCTCCTTGGGTCCAACTTCTTTGGAACTCTCTCAGCTTCCTGGACTTCCTGGAAGTCTATTTCCTTTGCCAGATTGGAGAAGTTTTCCTTCAATATTTTTTTCAAATAAGTTTTCAATTTCTTGCTCTTCCTCTTCTCTTTCTGGCACGCCTATGATTCAGATGTTGGAGTATTTAAAACTGTCCTGGAGGTTCCTAAGCCTCTCCTCATTTTTTTTGAATTCTTATATCTTCATTCTGTTCTGGTTGAATGTTAATTTCTCCCTTCTAGTCCAAACCACTGATTTGAGTCCTGGTTTCCTTCCCTTCACTGTTGGTTCTCCTTATTTCACTTTTCATAGCCTTTACTTTTTTCTGTATTTTGTGACCATACTTAACCACTTCTGTGAGCAATCTGATTACCAGTGTTTTGAACTCTGCATCTGATAGGTTGGCTATCTCTTCACCACTTAGTTCTATTTTGGTAGCTTTCATCTGTTCTTTCATTTGGGCCATATTTTTTTGTCTCAGCCTGCTTGTTATGTAGTGAGGGGTGGAGCTTTAGGTATTCACTAGTGTGGGACAACCCATGCGTTGTGGCGCTGTGTGAGAGGGAACAATGCCGCTTGCTCAGCTCCTGGCTGGCTTTCAGTCAATTCCCCCACTACCCACAAGCAAATTGGGCCCTTCTGATGCTGATTCCCAGGTGGGTGGGTTTGTGTACATTTTAGGATCCTGTGGGCCTCCCCAATGAATTTTTGTGTGAGACTGGGGGTTTCTCCTGCCACCGCAACCCCCACAGGTTTTTATAACCAGAGGTTTTGAGGCTTTAGCCTTCTGAGTTGGACCCCTGGGTTGTGTTGTCTCTCTTGCTCCCCAGTTATTCTTCCTGGTTTATCTGCATGCAAATGTGGGACCACCCAGCCCACCACTTGCAGCCTCACCCACCCCAGTCCTCTAGCCTCCATATTTCTGAAAGTCCTCTCCTCCTCAGGTGCCCATCTCCACCCCTTCTACTTGTCTGAATAAATATTTCTTCTTTAACTCCTTGGTTATCAGACTTCCATACAGGTCAATTTTCTACAGGTCAATTTTCTGGTAGTTCTGGTTATTATTTGTTTTAAATTTGTTGTTGTCCTTTTTTTGGTTGTGCAAGGAGGCAAAACATATCTACCTACACCTTCATCTTGGCCAGAAGTCCGAGATTAGCATTTCAATTAGCAGACTGAGTAAAGAAGATGGCCCCCACTATTATGGATGGGCCTCTCGCAATTCCTTGAGAGTCTGAATAGAACAACAAGACAAAGGAAAGACGAACTCATTCTCTGCTTGAGCTCAGACATCCATCTTTTTTCTCTTGCTCTCAGGCATTAGTGTGCCTGGTCTTGAGATTTTAGATTCCTAAAGAAACTTACGCTATTCCCTGCCCTGCTTCTCAGGCCTTTAGATTTGAACTGGAACTATACCACCAGCTTTCCTGAGCCTCCGTCTTGCAGACTGCAGATACTGGGACTTACCCTTTATAAATGCATAAGCCAATCACTCATAATAAATCTCTTTCTGTATGTATCCCATTACTTCTGTTTCTTTGGAGAACCTTTATACATTACCTTCAATAATGTTTATAATGTAATGTTTATAATTTTATAAATTATAAAATTTATAAAGCCACTGTGGAAAACAGTATGGAATTTCCTCAGAAAACTTAAAA